GGCTGCAATAATAATTCTGTGTTACTGATGTGATACAATGGCAAGTGAGCTCTGTACGCAGGACACAACTGTAGGTTAAGCAACAAATGTTTAAATATGGATTCCAATTAACATTATAAAATTTCATAATGTGGGATAATTCATTGGGAAATGTATCTGTCTCCTCCTGGTGACAGAGCTTGTACAAGGACATGCTGAAAGTAATGACTTCCAATTTCTTTTCCATAACAGCAATTTCATTGAAACAGAAATGGCTACCTTCCTTGAACTTTGTTCCCTATTTTATACAATTACTTCTCAAACAACCATTTCTGCAGTCCAGCCACAGCTTACATATTTCATGTACAGGTATTCGTCAATTAATGTACTAGTTGTATTCCCAAAAGGAGTCACAGGGGGTGCAATGACATAAATGACATCAGGTACGCCGAACTTTCTCTTCTCCCCTTGTATTCCTCCTCCACACCTGCACAGCATCCTAATCCCCCCTTCTGACCTCTCTTGATGGGCCAGCAATTACTTCATACTAAAGCAGGTGTTACAGGTCTAAATTAAGTGACTGCATTAAAGTGAAACAACATGTTTCCAACTTGCATATACCAAAGAGTACCTGTACTTTTGTAAGGCTGGCTGGATAGAACTCTGCGTCTTGTTGACAGAACTACATTTTCACCACTGTCTTACGGAGACATTACTTTTCAGCACAACCTTCCGCGATGAATGTTGCTAATACCAAAGCCCACCAGTGGACACTGCATGATCCACAGTCTTATACCCAGTTTTGTCAAGATCTGGTTTGATATCTTCCTTCCACCACTTTTGCTTTGCCAAGTGGATGCGTTCCAGCACATGTTCCAACAAAAATATTCTACGTATTTGTGTTCAATTATTTATTGGAGTACGGTGTAACACAACAACATAATGGTCAATGTTAAAATTAAACAGCTACATGTTTCAGCCTTTTAAAGCCATCATAAGGCAAAACACATCATTACTATATTCAGACAGAACTAGTAATCATGTGCTTTGCCTGATGATGGCTTTAAGAAACCAAAATGTGTAGCTAGGTAATTTTAGCCTTCACCGTTATGTTGTTGTGTTACGACTGACTCCAATAAAGAATTGTATACAATAACACAACAGGATGCATGGAAATGAAAAGTATTTGTGTTCCCTCATCTCAGCTACATGTCCTTGATGTAACTTTCCTGCCAAAACTGGAAAGCTGTATAATCAAGTTCCTTGGTGGGGACGTTGTGTGCTGTAACACTGTGTTGTAGTCTGGCAGGCGGATACCAGTGTGCTGGTGAAAGACACCACACTGCAGTCTGATAGGTGGATACTAATGTTTTGGTGGAATGTGTGGCTCCATCTTCAGGATGACTCCAGATATCGGACATTTAGATTGCGTAGGTACAGATGTTTGAAGTCACAATATGAAATCATGTCATCCACAAACAGCAGTTTCATTTGGCTGAAGATACGGGATATGATACTGTGTAGGTTGGTAGAAGTTTAATGACATTTCTGAGGAACACAATGCCTTCAGCTTTAATTTTCCATCCTGAAGATGGAGAAAGTATGAAGGCAAATCGAAAGTCTTTGCCCCTATTTTTTTCAGCCACAAAATACACATACAGGGAAATCAAAATACAGGCAGTGTTCTAAGCACCGTTGACTATTTTTCCACATAGTCACCACCCTGGTTCAGGCATATGTCCCATCGCACCACTAGTTTGGAAATGCCGCTGTTGTAGAATTCGGCCGGTTGAGAGCGGAACCACTGCTAGACAGCGGTTTTCACATCGTCATTGGAAATTAACCTCTGGTTTACCAGGAACTTCTTCAGTGGACCGAACATGTGGTAATCACTGGGGGCGAGGTCTGGACTATACGGTGCATGCTCCATAATTTCCCGCCCGAATGACTGCAGTCATGCCCAGGGATTCTCATGGATGTTGTGGTTCTCCTCCATGATGCCAAGCCTAATGTGGCAAACAGGACCGCCACCCGACTGCAGTCATTCGGATGGGAGATTATGGAGCATGTGCCTTATAGTCCAGACTTCACCCACAGTGACTGCCACGTGTTCAATCCACTGAAGAAGTTCCTGGCAGGCCAGAGGTTCATTTCTGAAGATGATGCAAAAACCGCTATCCGACAGTGGTTCCACACTCAACTGGCCGAATTCTACAACAGCTGCATCTCCAAACTAGAGGTGCGATGGGACAAATGCCTGAACTGGGGTGGGGACTATGTGGAAAAATAGTCAAAGGTACTTAGAACACTGCCTGTATTTTGATTTCCCTGTATGTGTATTATTGTGGCTGAAAAAATATAGGGGCAAAGACTTTTCGATTTGCCCTCGTATATTTTTCTGCAGTGTTGGTTAAAACAAATTACAGAGCATTACATTTCAGAAGACTTGTCCTCAATAATATTGCAGAAGTCAGGATGTGATAGAATGTATGTAGTAGAAGTCTACCCTTATGAAGTTGGCACTACGTTCCTCCAAAATGTTGGGGGACTCCTACCCACCTGTACAGTTTCACTTCCAACTTCCTCATGATCACTGCCGTCAAACTCTCAAATCTTGCATGTAACACTGGTGCTTGTAGATGACTGTACCTTCCATTTATGAACAAGAAATATTGACACACTACAACCATACAGTAATTGTGCTGTACTGATTAAACTGAACTTTGATCAGTGCAATGTCAAGTCTACCATTGCAACCATTTAAAGCTATTGGCCTCAAGCTTTAGGGGCCGTGCCTGGGTTCCAACTGCACGTGGCCACCTCAAGTTTACAGTGAAACTTTGAGTGCATACAAACATATCATGAAATTTAAGCATTTTTATATCATTCTTCCTAAAGATGTTATACATTAAATACTACACCAAGTAAAACTATTTTATTCTATCTTTCTCAATAGGATACTGACCAATAAAGAAACAAAATCTTCAGTTTCTTTTGATAGGTCTCATACCTTTTGTTTGAAAACCATTTACTGAAAAATTAATTACCTATGGGAAGGACGAACAGTGCCTTGTGATGAGCTGATCACCCACCCAAGGGGTCCTACCAAATATGTAAGATCTAGAAAAACAGAAGTGAATGGAGATGTTCATGGTGGTAGGCCTAGGCTCACTGGGGCTGTAGTGCCATGGAAAAAAAAAAGTACGGATAGTAACAACCAGCAATTACTATATGCAGACTGCTCTGAGTGAGAATGTTACAAACTAAAATCAACTCCACACATAATTCCAACCTTGCAAGTAACAACACTAGCTAGTGAGTTATTGGAGAGGGTGGGTTCACCCATGCACTTAGACCAGTATCGGTCCATTGTGCTTCCCTCTATGATATTCTACCAGTCTCTATATCCTACTGATATTGGTGCGTACCATAAGTGCTGACCGAGCCAGCGAATTCGGCCTCCACTAGCTTGGCGCTATCTATAATGCTTCCCCCACCTATCTGAGGTGTTAGAGCCTACTTGTTGGGCGGGAAACATCCTTAAATTTGGCTCAGTGATCTCCTTTGGAGATATGAGGTTCTTTTATGTGCCGTAAAGCTACAACATGGACACACGGCTTAAAGTCCCTCCCGGAGAACTTGTTCCCTGAACTTTTCCGCCCTTAAACATTCGATGTCCTCCGCCGGGTTTGAACCCGCGTACCTCGAGTCATGAGGTGGGAACGTTACCTCTAGACTATGGAGGCCGCTAAGTAACAAATCTAACTAAACAACATATTCTTCATGCACCTAATGGAGTAGGTGTACATGTTTTAAATCATAATTCCTATTTCATGAAGAAATACATAAATGTATGCACTTCTGTAATAATGTGATTTCAAGTTAATTTCTATTAACAAAGACTAAAACATATACTGGCCTACACCTGAACAAGGGCTTCTTTCTTCCCTTGGAAGAATACAATATTGCTATTGCAATCAGGAAATGCCAAATATAATTACTTCATGTCTGATTTAGCTTAGAGGCCGTTCATCTGGCTCAAGTCCTATAAGCAAGCAACTAATCACTAGAAATTGTACTTTTCAACTTGCAGGTGCCAACAGGTTACCTAAGGAAGCAGGAGAACCACTGTACTCATTTGAATGTGAAATGAACTCTGTGGCCTTCCTTCCAATACACATAGGCACTGTCGGCAGCTGCAAGCTGTGTCTTATTGAAAAATAGAGACGATATTCCAGACAGTAAGAAACAATAAAAACATAAGTCCACGCAAAAGTTCAGAGTTGGTGCCAGTATATTTCATGAAGAATTTGCAGTTTGGTTTTTGAGATGGTTGCCCTGAAAAAGAAAGAAATAAAGAAAATGTAGTAATGCTCATGTTAAACTTGAAGATCTCACAAAAACCTCACATGGTGGTTTTCTTTTTGAAAACTGAATTTCATATTCTGCAGCAAAAACATAAATTTTTAGTAAAGCTTCACAGTACCAAGGAGGAAAGTCTTATTAATCAATCCATCATTAAAATCACACTGTACAGTGTAGTCTACAAATTATAACAAGACAAGTGACAGGCTCAGAGAAAAACAAATATTTACTTTGCAGCAGAATAATCACCATATGACATTATCGACATTACTATATGGCTTCACCTCTACTCAGCCTTTAAGTTAAAGCTACAAATTACTGTTGTTTGCAATGTCAAGATTAGACAAATTTTGAATTTAGTTCACTGGTTTCATCTAGTGATCTGTGTTCTCATGTCTAAGTCTGTCAGTTAATGAATACAATTTTTTTAATTAGAACTCGTTGTTCTTTTCAATGAATGCAGACAGGAAGCATACTCGTGTTTGTTTGCCGCCACTAAAGACCACGAATGGAGACTACATTTCTTTCTGCTTCTGCTGCAAGAGGCTAAGCATTCCGAGTGGGTGTCTGTTGAGCTCATCTGTTTCATCAACTNCCTAGAAGGTCATCATCAGGTGCTTTAAAATTATAAATTATAATCGAGGAAACTGCTGTGCTTCCATATTGTAGTTGCTGGTCATCACTATGCAGTCCCTTGTATGCGTATGTATATACAAAGTGGCTTGTTGATCTGCCTGCTGTGTTATGCAGTGCAAGAGGAACACGCAGCATAACACAGCAGGCATAACAACCCGCCACTTTGTATATACATGCTCACAGAAGGGACCGCATAGTGAAGACCAACAACCACAATATGGAAGCACAGCAGTTTTCTCATTTATAATTTTAAAACACCTGATAATGACCTTATATGTCAAAACATGCAGTGAATAACTTTTAGGAAGTTTTACAGAAGGACATGCTGCACGTGAGACTGTGAAACAATTTGGTACTAAATGAAGTGCAGCAGAGTGCTACAATATACTAAAGTAAAGTAAAGATATCCCTGTAACAGACCGTGGAGGCCGATACGGTTGTGAGATGTTGAGATTCCCACATTTTCTGGGCAATCAAATCACAGATGGTGACAAGGTTGTCAGCCCTATGCGCCAGCCGCTCTTTACCCCCAAGAATATTCCAAGAATATACCTGGTACTCATTTCTATTAGAGGATGAGTTGACCCCAGGGACATAGTGCAGCTGGAAGGATTAGGTCAATTGAAAAAATCCAATGACTTCATCGGGACTTGAACCCATGACGTTCCGCCTTGTATTAGAAATAAGAGCTCATGACCAGATCTCGACTGATACTCACTCCTTCCTGTTCAGTTCTCTTCACTCGTTTCTCCACTTTATTTTTGCCAGGTCCCTTTCCATGAAATTC